ATTACAGTAGTTGGAATCTGATATTAACATCCAAAAAGGGCATTAAAGTATAAAAAAGAGAAAGGAAATTTAACATTCAAATTCCACTGTAGCATACAACAAAAACATTGGACTTCATTTTACACCCTTACAATTGGTTAAAGTATTTAAGTATAAAAAACAGTAACTATTAAAAAACGAGTATTGTATAACAACAGGAGAGGAAATTTGACATTTAAATTCAACTGTGCAACATGAACATTGGTCTTCATTTCAACCCTTGCAATCGGTTAAACTCAGCTTTCTTTGCTGGAAATAATTTATGATGGTTTATACCAAGTATTCTTGATGGAGGATATGAATGTAATGTAACTGGAATGTAGGTCTTCTGCCATTATTAGGACGATATAGCGACGGCATTTTAATACTGGCCTTAATAAAACCATTGGCCATTGGATACAGAAGATTTTGATGAAAAAGCTGGCTACAAATTTAACATGGGATGGAATGTCTAGTTGTATTGATAGTCAAAGATAAAACATAGGCCTACAAAAAATGTAGGGCTATTTTAATGTAAGACTCAAATGTAAAACACATTTAAAGACTAAAATGAACTGAATTATCAGTCATGTATTTCAATGTGTAAAAACGTAAAAACTGCAAAAAGACTTACTTATTGAACAATAAAATAAGATGGCTGAAATGTAGGCCTAATCATAAGTAATAAGTAAACATCGCATTCAGCTGATTTAAGTGAAAACAGAATAATAATAAGTAGGGAAGACGTGCCTTAAATGTACAATGTAGATAATATAATTAGAAATTAGTAGCCTACTTCTGGACAAGCCTAGACAATTATCCATACCAAGGTTAAAAGTGTACTTCTATAAGCCCAGGTTTACTTATTACGGTTGTAACTGGACGTATGTATAGTCCGTGGCTTGGCAATCAAATAACAGTATTTATATAGGATAGGCTACTGTTATCAACATTTGAAATTACTGAATTGTTACCAAATTACTGTTTCACAAAATGCAGATTCCATTTTCAGCCGAGCCATTAAAATGAGGATTTGCCGAACAATTATTAATATTACAGAATAGTACTTAATGATATACAACTTTTCACATTTCATAAATTATATGTTAATTTTGCTATGGTCAAAGGTCCAAATCCAAATGTTCTTTTCATTTGGTTTTTATGTAGTAATTTGCTAGAATCATTGACTTTATATAAAGTCAATGCTAGAATACTGTAGATGGTTTGTTAAGACCATATGCAAGCATTTTTGAAATCGTTTCCCCGTTTAACCAACCATTCCAAAAGATAAAAATGATATGGTGCAACACAAATAAACAACCCGATCACCTACTTATATAACCTACACTTTACCTTCCTAATCTAACCTTACTTCAAAACACTTAATGTAGTCACGAATACTCATAAACCCCGACCTACCTTCCCCACATGCCTAAATTAGATCAGTGTTCAATCTGCGTTTTATTTAAGTGTAATAACTTACTGCACCACCGATGTAATTCAACATAATATAACCTGTGAGGTATTCGGTATTATCGGATTAAATATCGATTTCGATGCGGTTCGATATATCGCTTATTAAATCCTGATTTCTAACATTGGCTGTTTCTAATCAGCTGGCAACACATATGGGTTCCCAAGAAAATGGTCAACGGTCCGTATCCCTCCGCTCCTTGTTTATGCTCCGCGCATTGAGAAAGTAGTTCCGTATATTTTCTCGATTTGCAGTGAATTCCGCACCTTAAAAAAATGTTTTAACGGTATTTTCTTGTTTATTAAGATCATAGGAATGGTTTAAACACGTTTAAAAGAAAAGTCTAGAAGGTTCAGAAATACCTTATGATTCTCTTGTTTAAATTTTTCTTGTAAACAAAAAACCTGTCATGGCTACTTTAGTCCCATAAGCCTAATGTTAAAAATTGGAAATTTTAAGTTCGTTTTAAATTGCATTAGCATTGTCTAATTGAAATTTGTTTGTTTAAAAACCATCTCACTATTAGTCTAAGTAATTTTGTTAAGTTTGGCTGAAATGCGTTCAGCCGTTATTGAGTGACTAGGTGAAACCCGTCGAAATCAACGGTTACTTTCAAGGTGTACGCTAATTCATCTGCTGCAATAAATTGAGTGAAATTATACATATTTTTGAGCATTTAGCATTGTTTAAAGATTAATAAGTGTAAAAACAATAATGATATTAATTGCGTTAGTTACCAAAATATGGTTGATCATTCAATGAATAAAATATTTCCCATACTATTAGTATCTTATCTGGTATCTCTTCCTTTGGAAGAACCTTTATACCAGTATTAAAATCGTATTGGTGGAGCTTTTGTAGTTAAACATTTCCGTGATTCCATCAGTGTAATGCAGATTAATCTAGGATTTTATTTGAAAAAAATATCTGTTTGCTGGGAAGACACGTTCTAACTTCAAAAGGAGGTATATCCGTTGCAGTGTACAGCGTTGAGATTTCCTTCGTCACGTCGTGTCAGTTCATATCGTACTTCTGTGCCTATGAATCACACAAAAAAATTTGCCTATGCACATTTCTCTAGCAATGTTTTGAGAAATTGGTTGTGGGGTTACTGTTAAAGCTGGAATTCCTTGACATGGGGGATGTCAGTTAGTTGTCTCAGCCTTATCAATTACATAAAGTTGTCAATATAATCTCTCTACAGAATGTTAAGTGTAGTGGAATATACTTGAAGTGAAGTTGAATTTTATTTTTGAACTGTTAGGGGCCTCCTCATTTATATGGTCGTGCGGCTTCATTGGCAACAAATAATGCAAATGATATGATACAGAAGAAAATCAATTTTAAAATCAGAAAATAACATTGAAAATACTTCTTTTGGACAATTCTAACTCCCAATAAATATGTGTTGTTTAAAATACAATATTAAAATTAACAGCTGTTTCATTAAAAAGTATTATCCACATGGCCAAAATGTAAACAAATATGTGGAGGGGTCTTTAAAGGCTTCTGGGGCAGAGCCCTAAGCGAATTTACTTAGTTTTTCTTTTGATAACTCATCTACAGACCAAGACCTTTCTTTGGACACCTCTACCAAGTTTCTACGCCCAGCCGTTCTCTCTAATTAGTGAAGACAAAGTTTCCAATTAAATATTTAGATTCCCCCATGTTAATCTTATGGGAGAAAACCCAACTTTGATGGAAGATCCTGCCCAAACTAATAACGATATGAAAAATATAAAAACACTTTGCAAAACTACAGATCAGGGCCATTTGTTTGACACTTTAATCATCAAAATCGGTACAAAAATGAGGGAGGAGTTCTGTTTACAAAAATCGGCTTAGCGTATTATATATATAGATAGATAGATGTTTCTCTATTTGTTGCATTAAAGTTGATCCCAAAGACAATTTTTTTAAATTTTCTCCGTAACAATTAGGCGCATAATAACGCTTCAATATACTAAATTATTTGTTTTTTTAAGCTCTACAAAATGGTTTAAAAATAAATTGTGAAATTTTGTGTTTTTAGGGTCAAAAATGGGAAAAACCTATTTTTACCCCATAAAACCCCCCATAATCTCCCGTTCCCATAGTCCGATCATGCTGGTTTCCGAACTCATTCAAGTTTATCCCGCCTTACACCTTCAAACCAATTTTTATCAAAATCGGACAAAAATTACTCAAGTTATCGTGCGGATGGACACATATATATATATCTCTATATATAGATATATAAAAATTTGAACGAATGGTGTTTTTGGCCTCTGGGGACATCAAAATGGAAAGGTAAATCGGTCCCGAGCCTAGGTCTTACCATGAGACCTACGGTTATAGCTACTTTCCTATAGAGAAATTCGCTAAAATGCTACTTAGATACCCGCAACACATGCATTAAAAACGTCTGTTTTTACTGCAGTATGACAAAAACAATATAATATGAACCCTTGATGACTCCGCTTAATTTTGTGGATGCCTCTGCGAACGCCACCTAGTTTATCCTTGGTTAAACAGGTAAACCCCGGTCCAACCAACCAAAATAATGGAGAAGAGGTCGTTATGGCAAAACCTTGATTACAGTGGTTTTAATGAGTTGAAAAACACTCTCATACAGGTTACACTATTGAAATAGAATACTTAAAGTTAATTTATCTATAAATTAGTCCATTTTAACAGGTTTTTAGTTATGATCCACTAACTTATAGGGATTGTTGAAACATGATTAATCTATACGTACAGGTTGTCTCACGAAGAGGTTTAAACGTTTGATTTTATATTTTTTGCCCATTTATAGAGCAAACATTTTGAAACTTTACACGATTTATAAAGTAGGTTTTAAAATATTCTGGAAAAATTTTCAGCTCCCCAACCCAAAAGAACAAAAAAAAAAAAAAAAAAAATTATAGCACATTGAATTTTGTTATTAACTAATTATATTAAATTTATTTATTTATTAACTGGTGATGGACCACATAGGTATTGAATAATTTTGGACTCTACTTTTAGGTTTAGACTATGTTGACTATGTTCTAGTTTCCTGATTAAACAGCCTCATTTCTCTAGAATGTGATAATATAAATATTTTACAAAACCAAACACCTTTTTAATGTTTCTAAAGTATCATTTTTTAAATGTTTTAAATATTTTGTTTGTATAAGGGGTAGGGAGCTGAAATTTTCACAGAATATCTTTAAAACCTAATTTATAAATTGTGTAAAGTTTCAAAATGTTAGGTCCATAAATGGGCAAGTAACATAAAATCAAACGTTTAAACCTCTTCCTATTACATCCCGTATATGAAAGGAGTGTGTGTGTGGGTATGTTCCATGGCTATTGGCTACGCACTGCCACCCTCATTGTAGTAGTACAGTAGTAGATTGTTACTGGGGTGCACTCCAAAGTAAGTCTATTTCCATTCCAATATTTACCTTTGGAATAGGATTAACATTTGTTAAGCCCTTTAAAGCCTAGTGTTTTAACATCAATTGGATGTCTGTATGGTTGATAGGTGTTGGAGGCCCATTACATGAAGCAAGGAGGACATCAGTTGAATATTTTACCCAACACCAACCTCCCTCAGAACATACCCCTGGTACAGTACCAGCCACCGCACAACTTCACCATCAAGGATCAACATCTGCTCAAGCCACCTCCAGTTCTGGGAGCCAGTGAGTCAACATGCCCCAATGTTATATTACTATTCAATTTTAATAATAATTTTGATAATTGACCATCCGCTTGTTAATCATTAGGGATGGGTTGAATCTCAAGATTGGTTCTCAATACCACTGTTGCCAAATATTTTGTATTGTTATATGTGTAATCAGGAGAAGGTTTTGGTGGCTATAACCTCCTCCCGTCGTAAATAATTTGATAATTAAAAATACACTTACTGTAAAAAGTTACGTTCAGGGTGTAACGTGCCGTTTTTCCCGCTAGGAATATATACGCTATCCCGTAGTTAGCGAGAAAACGTTACCAACTCTCACCAGCGGATCGCTTAAGTCGGCGTGCTGGGAAGTTTCCAGGGTTCAGATAAAATCATTAATTAACTCAATAACCTAGCACAGGTACAGATTTGTAAGGACGCAAAAATGTAGTGTGAATCAGGTGTGAACTCAGTACCGGTAACCAACAACGCTACAGTACCATCATCATCGATCACACCTGGGAATAGCTAATTAAATTAAATTTAAAAATAATGAAAACCGTCGACAAAATTTTGAAACAAATTAATGTTACAGTTTCGCCAGCCTCAACACTTAAAATATTTCTTAGCTGAATATTTGAATGCTGGCGAGCCCACCCGACCTCGTGTTTGCTTGACTTGCAGAGACGGGTTCAACTTTGCCCGCAGCAGTTCAACACCAACTGAATATCTTGGCAAAATATTCGCTAAAACCCCGTCACCCTCAATATTAACTATATATACCCAAATTCTATACGATCAGTTTGTTGGAATTAATCCTTATCGTCAACCCACACGAGCCCTAGCATACGCCAACACGGACTAAAGAGGTTCAAACACCCGACAAAGGCCCTGCCGTGGGTTTTATAGATAAAATATTTAAAGTGAGGGTTAATTGCTAAGTCAATACTCTGAACAATAACTAACAGTACAGTATCAATCAAATTGGCGAATTACCTGTATACTCCAGGGATCTTCACTGCCCACTCACGACTACGTAAGATCACGTTAGCGGCAAAATCACTCTCAACTACTGAACACTTAAGTCACGTCCTAACTCAAGCTATCGCAGGATTAGAATGTCCCTCGCATCTCTAGCCCACAAGGGATCTCCTCTCCTTCCCCCTCCCTAATCCTCTAGGGATGGGGAATCAGCTGATTCAATTCCCAGCTGATCGATGATGTCACGAGTTTAAACTTGGCGCTGTCACGATTCACAACACAAGAATAAGAATATCTTTATTGTCATGAAAGTACATTCTTTAACAACTAGCAAAGCTAGAACAGATTAGATGACATTGTCAATGCAGTCAAGTTATCATAATTAAATAGTTACACCTAGCAATAAGTATCTAGAGAAAAAAAATTAATAAAACCTCACAATAATCATTTTAAGAACAGGAATTATCCCTTTACAAATTGGTTTTCTAAAACTTATCATTTAAAAATGTGTCAACTGAACAATAATTTTTTTAAATCAAAAAATCCTTTAACTTTTTTCTAAAGCTGTTTTCCTTTATTATTTCCTTCAACTCGCTGGGTAGTTTATTGTACAATTTCCTCCCCATATATTGTGGTGTCTTTTCAGATAGCGTCAGACGGTGTCTTGGATACTGAAAATTTGCTTGAAATCTAGTTTCGTGATGGTGCATATGTTGAGTTTTACTTAAAATTTCAAAATTATTTTTAACAAACATCAGAACTCTTAAAATATATAGGCAGGGAACAGTTAATATACCAAATTCTTTGAAAAATTGTGTACATGACTTTCTCTTTGAGGAGAATGTCATGAGGCGGATGTACTTTTTTTGGATCTTAAAAATTTTATGTGCATGAGATGACATTCCCCAGAACTCAATGCCATAGGTTACAACTGGCAAAAAAAGACCATGATAAATCATAAGCCTGGTTTTTGAGTCGATAACCTCTCGAAGAACAATCGTTTAATCATTTGGAAACAAATAGAGTTTAATCTCTTGCAGACTTTACTGACAAAAGTTTTCCAATTAAGATTAGAATCAATCAGAATCCCTAAAAAGTTAACTGAGCTGTGAATCTCCATTAAGTTCCCTTGAAATATAAAATTAAAAATTGTCTTCATCTACATTTTTATTTTGTTTAGTTTGAAATTTTACCAAATGTGTTTTAGACTGATTAAGCAACAAACCATTTGCTGAAAACCAATTTTGAAGTCCTGTAAGTGTATTCTGAAAAACTAATTTTAAGTCATTAGTTGAATTTGCTTTTAATATTGCTGATGTATCATCTGCATAAAGTGTAAGAGTTGAGGATATATTTAAAGGTAAGTCATTTATATATAAAAGGAAAAGCAGAGGCCCTAGTATCGAGCCTTGTGGTGCACCAAATTTAACCCTCTGCCATTTTGAGACGTGTTTAAAGCTGTTCTTAATTACTATCGTTCTTTGATACCGACTGTCCAAATATGATCTTATCCAGGACACCGCCGAGTCACTAAATCCATAATATTTAAGTTTTTCACAGAGAATATCATGCTCAATGCAATCAAATGCCTTGGATAGATCACAGAACACTCCCATAGTGCTCTGTGATCCATCCAAAGCACCAACAACCTGGTCAACAAAATATGCAACATCAGATATTGTACTTCGACCAGGCCGAAAACCAAATTGTTCCTGACAAAATAATCCATTATTTTCAAAAAAATTTATTATCTGATTGAAAGCAGTTCTATCAAAAATTTTTGAAAAAGATGGCAAGATTGATATGGGACGATAATTGTCTAAAATTTCCTTGCTCCCTTTTTTATGCAATGGTTTAATTTCTGCAAATTTTAATTTATCGGGAAATTCCCCATTAAAGAATGATTGATTTATAATTTGACTGAGTGGTCTATGAATTGAATGGGCTGTGATTTTCATTAAATTCAAAGGTATTTCATCCCAACCTGCACATTTTTGGTTTTTGAATGAACTTATTGTCCCGGCCACCTCAGCAGCTGATACCAATGAAAAAGAAAACTCTGGGTGGGTGTTTTTGTTATTTACTTGAAGTAATTGAATTGATTTTGACCTCGAGGAAACTGTATTTAACATCTGAGAAATATTAGCAAATCTTTCATTAAATAAGTTGGATATTTCTTGTCCATCTGTAATCTTTTTATTGTCCACCAAAAAATCTGGGATATTTGCCAAAAAAGACAAAGAAAATAAATTTTTACCATTTGTGGAACTGTTCTATAAAAATCCAAAAATGGGTAAAAATTTACAGGTATAAAAACTTGTGACTCGCAGTCAAAATGACTCCATGTGGTCATGGCGTGATCGTGTTATTATGACTCCGTTGTCACGGCGTGATCGTTAATATGACTCCGCGGTCAAGGCGCGATCGTCGGTATGACTCCGCGCCCGCGGTCACGGCGCAATCGTCGTTATGACTCCGCGGTCATGGCGTGATCGTCGGTATGACTCGCGGTCACGGCACGATCGTTGGTATGACTCACGGTTTCGGCGGGTTCGTCGGTTTGACTCAGTGGTCACGGCGCAATTGTCGAAATGACTTGCCATCACGGTGCGATCGTTAACATGACTTCGCCTCCTGCGTTCGCAGAACTATCATGAACATCTCTCGCAATAGTGGCGTCATCGTCACTCGCAAAGCAGCAAAATTGCCAACGATCGGATCAAATCCCGTCCCGAAAAATTCCCGGATCAAATGTAATCCCGTCCTGAAAATTTCCCAGAATTTCGGGACCCGTCCATCCCTAGTTCAGGGTGTCACAAAAAGGACCCGACCATTAAGGCCCCTATTACACGAGGTAGCCTGGCGACGTCGCCAGCGACCAAACTGGCTACTCAGCTTGTCATGGGGCATTGATTCTTATGGATGTTATTACACGAGGGTAGCCAGCGACGCAGCCACACTTTGGCGACCGACTGGCTACCGAGCCCCGTCGCCACTGTGGTAGCTACTGGCTACCCATATTGGCGACGCTGCGTTGTATCATATGGAGCTTATTACACTAGGTCGCCAGTATCACGTCGCCACTCGGTTAGTTCATATCACGGGGGTACTTGCACACTGTTGTGTTGCGTTCTGTTGTGTTGTGAGTGTGTGAATTGTTCACTTCAGTTGATAAAATGTCTATATCATCCTTTATGACTCGAAGAAACTGGATTGTGACATACGAAAATAATTGAAACATTTTTTATTGTCCGCACAGAGCTCATCAAAAAGGGTGTAATATAACCCTTTTGATTCTCTTGCACTAAGCATTGGATGAACGTACATTTTTCTCTTCCTTTGCCTCCTTTTCTTCAGAAGTAACAGAAGGAGAAGATACTTATAATCACTCATTATTCACTGTAAACACCGCTCATAACAAGGACAAGTGCAAGACAAGCACTCACAACAACGGCGCCACGGCGGTAAAATTCTGGCTACTCAACTGGCTACTCAACTGGTTATAGGTTTGGTGGCCAGTGCGTCGCCAGCTACTGCCGCTGGCGACGTCGCCAGGCTACCTCGTGTAATAGGGGCCTAAGAGGTTTAAAATTTGACTTACAGATAGTTTTGGGACAAATATTTAGGAAAGTAAATATACATCCAAAGGTTCCCTTGTTAATTTCAAATATTTTCATTTATCTTACTTGAGAGGAACCTTGCCAGACATTTAAAGAAAAAAATACACTTTTGGACCATATGGGTATTATTTCTCAGGTGCAAGTCTCCAAATATGTTTTTTTTTCTATTAGAAGTTTATCAAGAAATGAAGAAACCATCATCTTCCTTACCAATGTTTCTTAAAGAGTTTTCTTAAAGGAATAAAATTCATTATAGTTTATTGCAGAGTATGTTGGGCGACTTTATTATGTGTTGTTTACAGTGGGTGGGTTCGGACGTAGAGCATCAGATGGAGGAGCTCATCTACAGAGTTACTCTCAGAGAGCAGTCAGTCAGCCTGGAAGTCAGGAGGAGCTCAAAGCTGTAAGTCATGCATTAGAAAAGATAATCAAATATTACAAACATGGAATATTAACAGATTCATATTGTTTTCATCATAGCTTTGACTTTTGGAAATTGAAGTAGACTTTCCATCTTTATGAACTACCTGTGGACAAGTACATAGTTGAATGAGCTATTTACAGAGTGTTCTACAGTCTACAAATCTATTTTTGTTAGGGGTCTGCGGTACAGAAAATTTAAGGTCGGTACGGTACGGTACAATATTTTGTACCTCGGTTCTTGGTACAAAATTGGTACGGTACGCGGCTTTCGGCCGGTACTATCGGTATTTTTGCGGTTTTCTTCTCAGATCTGTATTTGAACCATTATTTTTAATTTTAATATATTGACATTACTATGAAAATGGATAGTATCCTACATTCATGGTTTTCTAACAACAATTACTGTACCACACATTATTAAAACCTTTTACTCCTATGAGGATTGTGTCAAGAAAAATCACAGTTTCAACAGATGACAATGAAAAACAGGATGTTATGATGAAGTAATGGCAAAGAGCATCTTTTTTATCAGCTTGAAAACTAATTATAAGATGGATACATATCTTGCAAAGTTTTTTTCTCAAACTAAAATTTGGATTACCACAGAGTAATATTATTGTCTTTTCATTTACAAAGTTAACATCCACACATATCAATCATTAGTTCATTATCGCAGACTCAATCCAATTTTCTTAGTATATTTTAACGCTCTTCCAAAGAGTCAAAAGACCCAGGCCTAGACCTAATTATTTAGGATGGCCTATATAAATTGAGTAGGTTACAATGAGGGTAGCAAAATCACTATCATAATTCTAGTTCATAAGATTTAGATTGCATTAAGTACCTTGAACACAATAAAACAATATAGGAAACAAAAACAAACATTTAAACCTTAACAGCCACATCCAACAATATAAGACAAGATACAGAACATGCAATGACATAATTTAAGACCGAGTAGGCTTGCATAAAGGAAAAGAATTATGCAAACAACAACTACTACGCTTGTGAAAGATTACGCTTGCATCAATAGAAAGATAAAATATCCATAACGGCGATATTGTCGTTTTTGCGTGCAGCATCCAATTTATTTATGCCTGGATCACCCCTTGCTGAATTAAATTTGCATTCTGTTAATTACGTTTTTTTTAACCCCCCCCCCCCCCTTATGACAGTGTGTATCTGGATCCGGATTCGCATTTTTCAAGATCTGGATCCGGTACCGACATTTTCTTGGATCCGCCTATCACTATATAATTAACCTCACTTTTCAGAATTGGTATCGAGTACAATGAAGCGAAGTATCGAGTATTTTCATTTATTTCCCACGCTTAAACCAATTTTACAAATTTGTCTACATCATTTGTAGGGGTGGGCGAGTAGTGATTTTTCAATTCGAGTTGAGTCGAGTATTTGAGTAAAAACTCAAGTATCGAGTCGAGTCGAGTAGTTGCGCGTTAAGTAGGCCTAGGCCCAGGGTTTAAGCTGCGGTAGTATTTTTAGCATCTTTTGCTATTCACAACTTAAAAATCCTAAGTTTACATTGTTTTGCAGGCTAGGCCTATGGCAAATTTTCTACAAATAAAATTGAAAGATGTAATGTTCAAACAAATGTAATATTAGCCAACTGGAATTTTTTGTTTTAAATGCTTAAGTTATTGAATAATATTTTTTCTACAGTTAACTTAGTTTTTGCCTTTGCAGAGAGTTTGCAGCATTTTGCTGAAATAAATTTCATCCTAGCCTAAACCCTGCCTAGGCCTAAATAGGTAGTTTAAGTACTTATACCAAATTTTCTAAGTTATATGGTTACTAATTATTAGTACCTCCTACCTTAGGCCTAATAAAAAATTTGGCCTAGACTACTTGTTGGCTGCAGCATTAAATTATTTAGGCCTAAACATCACTTGTTATTGTGTGTTTTATTTTTTCTTGCCTTTAATTCCTCCTCACTAACATGATAATCAACCGAACTAACTAACTTAATAAGGTAACTTTAAGAATAATTTCAATTCAAATAAGAAACAGAATTTATAAAAATATATTTATTTATAAAACAGAAAACTATCATCAAACTACATATTGTATCACAAGTTAAAAACATCAATATGCAATTAGGTATTTTAAAATAATCACTTGGATACATCTGTCTTAAGTTTGAAGGTTATGGGTACTAGGCTAGGGCTATCCTCTTCACTCAGTACATTTATAAAAATGATCAAGTCACTCGTCTCTGACAGACTGAACATATCAATCAAAAACATAGTCTTGAATACTTGTGTCAGGCAATTAATATTACAGTAATCATAAATTTTGTTTCTTTAACTGAGAATGCTCTTTCCGATAACTAAAATAGCGAGCTGTGTTAGCGCTAAAACAGCATTGCGAGATTTGGCACGAAACACGTTGGAAATTTTAGTATGAAAAGTACGAACTGAACTACCTGGATTTTTTTTTACTCATGAATTACTCATGATTTTTTTCTGGTTGGCCCGGTGGACACCCTGGCTGGTCCTCGAGATGCAAAGACTGAAACACTGGAGCTTCATGGAAAAGATAGGAAGCATATTCTTCGAGATGTTTTGTGTTCCCCTCAAGATATGCAACCTAAATCTTAAAGTTATCCAAATGATTCCAGTTTGAATCAAATAGAAATGCAGTGGTAAATAATGGATGTTTAACTAACAAAGAAAAATTGGTTAGAGATAAGATGCCTGCTAGGGTTTTATCTGCTCTTCCAAGCTTCAGCGGAGATCTTGACCAATGGTCCGCTTGGATAGCTGAGTACAATCGTTCGACTGAATTGAATGATTACACGGACCTAGAGAATCTTCAGAGACTACAGAAGTCCCTGTCCGGAAAAGCAAAGGAAATGATTTCAGCCCTATTGATATATCCCGAAAACGTAAAAGAAATTATAAATTTGTTGGAAAAACGTTTCAATTGCAAGTGTGAGAAGTTGCCCACCCACAAAAGATTACAAGCCTGACACTTTGGTGACTTTCAGCGACATGGTGCGAAACTTAGTGGTGACATTGAAGTCCTTGAAGCAAGATCACTATCTGTTCAACCCCCAACTGATGGAAGAATTGACTGATAAGCTATCCACCAACATGAAACTTAATTGGGGAACGCATGTCACATCACCACAGTCTCAAATAAAACATCCTGTCGGCCTGGACACTTTTTCAATGTGGCTTTCTTCTATGGCAGATGCAGCAACTATATGTGCTCCTAGTACATCATCTTTACCTGGGAACTACAAAAGTGCAACAAGTGGGAATTCAAACCAAAAAAACTATGTGCTTATCCAAGAAGAAAGTGACAAAATACCTAGAAAGCGGATGTGTCTTTGCTGTAAGAAAAAAGAACATTGTTTAGAAGACTGCAAGCAGTTCTTAGAATATGATGTGAACAAGAGATGGGACACAGTCAATAGTTGCGGTGTGTGTTTCAATTGCCTGAAAACGAAGCACCGAGCAGCAAAGTGACGTAAAAGGGTTGCCTGTGGAGTGAACGGTTGTACCTACTCTCACCACAAACTGTTGCACTGTCTCACAAAGAAAGAAGATGAGAACACAAAAAATCCTGAACCAACTGAAGTACAAACAGAGCACGTAGGGTACCAAGAGGAAACGATAGCAAGGGTTCTCTTAAGAGTTCTCTCTGTGACTTTGGTGGGGAGAAATGGAGTGAAAATTGACACGTATGCACTTATTGATGATGGTTCTACCGTTTCCATAATTGAAAAAGATTTGGCAGAAGAACTTGGAATTGAAGGTCCTGAAAAACCTATATCGTTTTCATGGACAGATGGGTCTGTTTACACTGAAGAGCAGTCTCAAACCATATCAGTGACAGTTCTTGGAGAAACAGGAGAAGAGTTATTACTGGACAATGTGAGGACTAGGGTTCTGCGGGTCCCCGATTTTTTCGGGTCGGGTCGGGCCAGCGGAAGGCCCGAGAGACCGGGTCGGGTCAGAGATTTGTTCGGGCCAAGATCGGGTCGGGCCAAAAAAAATAATTATTAGGCTATTTTTAAAGTTATAATAAGTAATTTTCAAAGAAACACTCTTATATACATTATTACAGAGGAATTAAAATGTTAAAATTAGAATTAAATATTAAGTTTGCTCACGTTTAAGAACAAAGACACAACAGAGCAATTATTGCCTTACTGTCACTAGCCAGAGCCAGTCGTCTACTGACTGACAAAACAAAAGCCGTGACGCAACAGTGCAAAGAAAACGAAGTCAAAAGAAAGACTATTTATCCAGGGGTACCAGTTTAATTATTTATTGTTTATTCCATACCTAGTTTAAAATATATTTTAGTATTTTATTTACATAATAAATTATAAACAAAAGAAATATCTGATATAGTGTACAGATCTGTATCTTGTTCTTTTATTTTCCTATTGTCCTTTTTGTCATTCAGTAACAAAACAAAACAACACTTCTGATCGTCTGGTTCGGCATTTTATGGTCACCATTTAATTTTTTTTTTTAAGTATCAAGTATCAACAAGTCTACAAAGAGGTTAGGCCTAAATATTTTATAATTTTATGAAAGTTTTCATCAGTAAAATTATTTTTTTCTTAAGTTAGATTGAGTTTCAAAAAAGATATTTCTAAGATCCAATACAATATTTACAAGACACAAACTACAATGAATTAATTTCTTTGGAAATTATCTGTAACAGTTTTATATTTTTGAATAAAGAAAATATATCTTTTTGTCTCTACTTCCTTGTTTTGTTACTTGTATTTTGTCAGCAATTGGAACAACCGGGTGGTGTAATAGGGGCGGGGGAGGGGGAGGGTCTATGACCTTGAGTGTCCCCGGGCCTGGCTCGGGTTGAGTAAGATGGGAGGGGAGGGGAGGGGGAGGGTCTGTAACCTTGAGTGTCCCCGGCCCCGGCTGTGAGAGTGATTCATGGTTTTTTGTTTACATTCTACTACCCTTCCTTCCGAGAAAAAGA